TTGCGGGGTGCCCGGTCTCGGTAGCAAGCCTGGGTGTGGTTGCTGGGGGCTCTGTCACCTGAGCAAACCTGGGTGTGCTTGCTGGGGGCCCTGTCACTTGAGCAAGCCTGAGTGTGGTTGCTGGGGGTGCTGTCACTTGAGCAAACCTGGGTGTGGTTGCTGGGGGCGCTGTCACTTGAGCAAGCCTGGGTGTGCTTTGCTGGGGGCCCTGTCACCTGATGGGGCCTGGGTGGGCAGATTCGGAGGGTTAGCAAGCTGTGACACAACTGCTAGCCTGTCCTCAGCCAAGAGCAGGCTGGCCTGGCCCAGGCGGGGCAGGATCGGGCTATGCCAGCTGCGGACCCTGTGATTTGAGGAGCCTCGTCCCAGCAGTGGATGTGCAGAGCCCGGAACAAGGAGACAGACAGGACGCTCAACTTTGGCTCCCGCGACTAGGGCTCCAGGGCCTCGGTCTCCTCTGCAACTGTGGCCCGAACAGCCGGCAGGCCTCAGCTGGCCTGGAGAGCCTGGCTCTGGGAGGGGGTGGGGGACAGGGGAGTTGGGGGAGCCCCGCCTGAGGCACCGCCTCAGCCTCCCACTGGCAAACAGGTGGCCCCTGTTCTGGCTACACCGGACTGTGCCTGGGGAGGTTGGGGAGCCCTTGTGAGGGCGGAGTGTGGTGCGGGGCGCCCTGGCCAGGACTGTGTGCTCGGTGTCCTGTTCCCTGTTTCTAATAAAGCCTTGTGGTGACCCGGTCCCGCCTCTGTGATGCCCATGGCTGGGCCAGCCACTGCCAGCTCCTTTGCCCTGAGTCCCTCCATTTTTACAGGGGCATCCAAATGGCACCTCCCAGGTAGCTCTGTGCCCCCTCAGCTGCCCCAGACCTGGTGCTGAGCTCTGCGGAGGCGGATTACGGGGACTCCCCTGTCCGTGGGCAAGCACTACCTTGAAGGGTTAATCCTCTGGGGGTATGTTTTTGGGGGATGAACCCAGCCTCTCCATCTGCACATCCCTTTGGGGTCCCCAGGGTGATAAATGTTCCTTGTGGGTCTCTTGTTGCCGGGGCTGGAGTTCTGAGAGTTGCAGGCTCTTTATTAAGAAACAACGGTCCCGTGTGGCTATTTATTCATAAAACCAATTTGAGGCTTAAGGATAGACGAGTCCCCTGGGCTTACTCAGCAGGATGCAGTGTCTATGCGAGTCTGTGTAGGAGGTGCAGTGTGGGCCCAGTGGGAAGGGCTGGCAGTGGCTGGGCCCTGCGCCTGGCCCTGCCCCATCGGGGGAGTGGCAGCTGGAGGAGACCCTCACACCCACCTCGCGCAGATGGGGGCCCCAGGTCCCGGGTCACAGACACCCACCCGGCAACGCGCCCTGGCAGGCGCAAGTGCTGCCTGTTCCGGGCCAAGGGCTGGGGAGGTGGGTGGGGACACGTGCGGGACCCCGGAGTCCACAGGTGTGACCTCCTGTAGGTGCCACCTACCTCCTGGCAGGTCCTCCCAGCTCAGCCTCGCTGCCAGGTAGCTGCAGTGGTGCTGCTGTCACCTCCCAACTGGCCAGGGGCTGAGAGGGAGCCCAGAAGGTGCATCTGAGAGCAGTCCACCAGCCCAGGCATTCTGGGGGGCACCTGGCCAGACCCTGGAGTCGGGAAGTTTGGTACCTAACCCAGCATCTGTCTGGCTCCAGGCACCTGACCTGAGGGATGGAGCAGGCAGGTGGGAGCCTGAGGGGGGCCGGGGAGTCCCCTGAAGCCAGCTTTACTTCCGACTCCACCCTGCAGGCCACAAGGGTCTGGCCCTGGTGCTGGGAGCCACCCCGCCACCATCAGTGCAGGAACTGAGGGCTCTGTTTCCCAAGACACGCCTGGCTGAGAGTGGGCCCCAGAGCTCCTATGGGGTCGCAGGCAGCAGAGGGAGGCACAAGTCAGAGTGGGCACTGGGCAATCATTGATGAGCACCCCACACCAGTGGCCACACCCAGGCCACGTTGACCCTGCAGCCAGCCTCTGAGGTGGCCCCGCCACGCAGTCCCCCCAGCCCCACACCCACTGCAGAGATTCAGACCAGGTGAAAGCACCCCCCACTCTGGCCTGTGAGTGCGCCTGCAGAGACACTACCTGGCGTGGGGTGTCCCGGTGTGCAAGTCGGTGACCACATCAGCCGCCACCAAGCCCTTGGCAAGGCCCATGCTGGCCTAGCTGCCTCACCTCCACGACCCATGGCCACGTCCAGCCTGAGAGGTGGTTGTGGTCGCTCAGGCGAGGTACAGGAAGATGCTCCCAGGGCTGTGTGGGCAGCCGGCCAGCAGGCCCTTCGGCCCGGGCACTGAGCAGGGCAGCAGGGCTGGGCGGTGGGAAAGGCCAGTCTGCCTTGTAGGCCGACCTGCGGGGCTGCTGCTGGGGCCTGGCCTGGACCGTGCCCACGGGCCCGCTCCCACCAGACACAGCGTTCCACTGCCCAGCTCGGCCCCTAGCAGGGGAGGTAGGCATCAGAACAGCTTCTCCCCATTAACAGGGCGGTAGCACTGGCTGACTCTGTAGGGGTCATGACCTTCCAGTTCACAAGAGCAGCCAGATATGCACGGTGTGCACGTCCACACCGCCCAGGTGTGCGTGTGTGCACGTGCACACAGCTCAGGTCAGGGCAGGGCATGGGGGTGACTGGGGCGGGCATCCCTGCCTCTGCCCAGGCACCGAGGCACCGTGCCCGCAGCTGAGCAGTGCCACTCTCCCCCACAGGGCAGCCGCCTGCCCCTCACCAGAGCATGCTCTGCTTGTGCGCACGGCCCCCTCCTTCCCCACCAGCATCCCCAATGGAATCCCAGGGTCAGGAATGTGCAGCAATCAGATGGCGCAATGGCGGGGGCACCCAGGGCTATATAGAGAGCAGGGAGAGTCAGAGCCTCACCTGGACGCGGCCCACAGCAGCTCTGCACAGCACGGCCTGGAGACTGGGCACCCAGCAGACATGGTGAGTACAGCCACTCTGCCCCACCTGACTTTGGCCTCGTCCAGCTGGGGGACACAGGGCAGGGAAGGGCCAGAGGAGTGACCTGCACCTGGCCTTGCCGGGAACCCCAAGCAACACACATTGGTCGCGCTACCCTGCCAGGGCCGGGCCCCTCGCGTCCCACCTGAGCCACTGTGTGGACCCTGGAGCCGAAGCCCTGACTCACGCTGGGGCCCCATTCCCAGTGGTGAGTGTCCCTAGCTTCTACCAGGTTCTTTCAGAAGGGAGAGGGGCCACTCAAGATCCTCCAGGAGACTCGGAGGCCACCCCAGGTGTGTTCATCTCCCCTCCATGGGGGAGGAGGGGATGGGCTCATCCGTCCTCAGTAGGAGGCCCTCATCCACCAGGCCCTGACGGGAAGGTCCCCTAGCAGCCGGCAGGTGGTCACTCCAGCCCAAGGACTAGAGAGGCTTAGCTGAGCCGATTTGGGTAGAAAAACCAGCAGTTAGCGTAATGGCTATGTTGCTGGACTCCCACGTAGTCGACTGTGGTTCGCGTCCCAGACCCGGTGGCTTAAAACTCACGCCGGGCACGTGTGCGTGCATGCCCAAGATCCCGAGAGGAGAATGGAGGAGAAGGGATTGTGGCGTGACCATCCCCCCTGGGGGGTGATTTCTCGCTTTCTATCTCTGTGTCTCTGTCTGGAGAGTGCACACGCCCTATAGCGAAAATCTCTCCAAAAACGAAAAGAAAAGAAAAGAAAACAAGACTGCGTTTATTTTTACACAGAGGTTTCTGGTTGAGCTCACTTCTTTGAAAGGTTTTCAAGGGAGCCCTTTCTGGACAGAGCTCTGGGGAGCCCAGTCCTGTCTTCTCCAGAACTAACCCTTCTCTAATCTCTGAGGCCCTTCCAGCTCCGACTCACTCGTGGCTGGCACCCCAAAGGCTTCCTTTGTGAGGGCAGGGAGCCGTTACGGCCAGGGTGGGCACTCCAGGAAGGACAGGCCGTTTCTGTTGGAGCTGCCCAGGACAGTTGTAGGTGGGGTGGGGCAGGGGTGAAGCCACACACCCCTGAGGCTGGCCCTGTTCGACCTGGGCTCCAAGCCTACCTTAGTCTCAAGGAGCTGTAGGACCCTGGGCAAGTCACCTATCTGTTTGAGCCTGAGGCCTCTTCAGTTGATGGGGGACCGTGTCGGAGACGTACTGAGTTCATCCCCCATGGCCTGGCATGCCAAAGCCACCCGGCCTTAGAACCACCAGCCCGAAGCCTCCTCTCCCTGGCTGTGTGCCCAGACATGACCCTTAGCCTTTCTGACCACTTCCTGCTCAGAGTGGGGAGAGCAGCGCCCAGCTGCCAGGCTTCCCAGGAGATGGGGCCCAACTGTGTGCAGAGCTTTTGGCCAAAGCGCAGGGGCGGTGCTCACGGGACCGTCCACACGCTCCTCCCCAGGCGGGGCCTGACCCACCTCCTCCTCTCAGAAGCAGCTCATGTCCACGGCAGAGACATCAGCATGGGTGCCCGCTGAACAGCTGGGCCAGACCATCTATTATCAAGTTGAAAACAGAGGTTGATGCTTGTAACTGTCTACCCATGGCTCGGAGATAATACGGCCCCAGATTCAGTAATTACAGTAAAACAAAAACAAATCCACACCGGCTGGGCTCTCGGGGCCCTGGGTCCTGCTCTGAGCATTTGGCGTCGGTGGCTGGGTAGGGCGGGCTGCCTGGGTGGGCAGATCCGGGGCATGGCAGGACCCAAGAACCTGCCCACCAGCTCAGTCCACGAGAGCCCGGCCCCTGTGGCTGCCTGAGAGCTGGGCTCTGCCAGGCTGCTGGGTCTGCCATGGTGCCACCCGGGCCGAGCAGCGCTGTGGATGAGCTGCCATGCAGGCCAGCACCCGTGACCTCTTCCTCTCTCTCCTGGGCTCAGATGCTAAGCCT